CTCAGCCTCTGCAAATCCTGCCTATCTTAAGGCCCAGCTGAGTTCCACTGCTTTTGAGATCACCTTGCCCTTAATCCATGGCTCTGAATCCCAATGCAAGCCTGGTCATTTCCATCTCCTATGAAGGAGGCTTGTCTCCCTTTCTGGATAATGGGGCAGGGCCACAATCCCAAGCATTGGAGGCAGGAGGCCCTGGTTCAAACCCTCACCAGCCACAGATTTGCTACCTGACTTTGGGCAAGTTGCTTCACCTTTCTGGACCTTGAGTTCTTTTTCTGGCTCATCATAACTGCTCTGCCCTCTCTCCAGGTGGTTGTGCAGGTTCAGCGAGTTCATGGGTGCGAAAGAATTTTGCAAATTTTAATACCTGACCTCAACACGTCTTATATTTTTTTAATAAATGCAACAACTACCACCATAGGAAAAGATCAGCTTGTTTCAGCCCAGTGGGAGGCCAGACAACTGTAGTCTTATTTTATTCCAAACGCTCTAATCTCAGATTGCCAGGACAGTCCCCATGTGGACTAGCTTGCACGCACTAACTGAACAGGGCTCCCTCTGGGGTAAAGAATTTGAGAGAAAGGGTGGAGACCCCTGACTGAAGGCAGGAGGGCCATTGGGAGGGGACTTGGGTGACAGGGGTGATTGCAAACCTGGGCAGAAGTGAGCCTCCTGGTCTCCTTGGAGGGGCCCTTTGACTGCTCTTCCCTCCAGGTGTGGCCAAAGCCCATTTCTCAGCTGCAAACCTTTCCATCCCCTTCCCACCACGTACCTGCCTTTCTCTCAGTTATCAAGCCGACCTCAATTCCTTTCCAACCCCCAAACTTGGTTAGGGGCACTGCTCTGGACCTGTGGGGACTTCCATGCCCCCAAGCTGAGCATCCATCACCAAGTAGACTTTCCCAATCCTGGTTCCTTACAATCCCCCAAGGGATTGTGTGCACACTGCATTGACTTGGCTCTTCTGTATCCAGAACACCATCCTTGTGAGACTGAGAAAGACAACTCAGACCAGTTTCCATATTCTGCAAAGCAGTTTCCTGGCTGGGAAAGGCTGCAGGATTCTTTGTGCCTGTCTGTCCCCCTGATGGACTGTGAGCCTCCTGGAGGCAGAGAACATCATCTTTTTTTTTTTCTTTCTTTCTTTTTTTTTAACTGCTATCTCCCTAGTGCCTAGCTCTGAGCACATAGCAGGTATTCAACAAAAGCTATTGAAGGAATTGCCAGTTTGATTCTTCCATCTATTGTGCAACTAGCAGGTGTTCAGGTAGGACTCACTTTGTGCCTTGCCCTTTCTAGTGGCCAGTGGACACATTGCAAAACAGAGGGAATAAACGGGGTAGCTTCCTCCTCTGCCCAGCACCAAGATCCCAGCCCACACCCCTGACTAGAGCTGTGCATGCTCAAGAACCTTCAGCCAGGTGTAGTAGCTCACATCTGTAATCCCAGTGGCTAGGGAGGCTGAGATAGGAGGATTCCAAGTTCAAGACCAGCCTCAGCAATTTAGTGAGGCCCTAAGCAACTTAGCAAGACCCTGTCTCAAAAAATAAAAAGGACTGGGGATGTGGTGGTAGGGGACCCTTCAATATGCAAGGAAAAAGGAAGAGAAAGGAAGTCTGTGTGTGTTGATCTTTCTTGTATACCAGACACTGCACCCGCCCTTCATATCCAAACTTGACTTGCCCTCCCAATCCCAATCTGTGGGAAGCCACCCGTACTGTGGCCTCACTGATCCCATCCTCCTCATGGCCTTCCTGCCCTTATGTGGACTCCTTCCCCCCCAAGTGTGGGCTGAACCCAAAATTCACTTTTAGAGAAAAAATACAGCCGAAGTTAAGCATGTCAATCCCAAGACCAAGTTATCAAAAACACCATCATTTCCATCTTGGTCACTCTCCCTGGCCTCTCTGGAGCTGCTCCCTCTGGGAAGGCCAACTGCCATATCACAGGAGGCCCCATGGAGACTCCCATCTTGTGGGGGACCAAGAATGCCAACAACTGAGTAAGCATGGAAATGGCTGCCCTCCAGGTGAGCCTTCAGATGAGGCTATAGCCCCAGCCAATATGATTACATCCTCTCGAGAGCACCTAGTGAACCACACCAGATTCCTGACCACAGAAGGTGAGATAGTTGAATGTTTGTTGTTTAAACTGCTAAGGTTTGTACAGCAATAGATAATTAATGCAGTACTGATCATTTCGTTTAGTAGATAAGGAAACACAGGCTCTGAGAACTAGTGACTCGTCAAGGTCACATAGCTGTAAGGGGGCAGGGCTCAGTCCTGAACTCAGATCTGTTACACCAGTGTGCTCAGCACCCTCTCCCCTGCCTGAGCCTTCCACTCCACCCAAGCCAGTTTCTCCTTGACCTCTCAGCCCTTGTGCACACACCTTCAATCTTTAAGACCCAGAGTGAGGAGCCACGTTAGCACCCTATCATCTCCCCAGAGCACCTGACTGCATATTGCCTGGAAGAATGAACAGAACATGATGCCCAGGTGGGGAAAGGAGTGTGTCCAGGAACAGACGACTGCCACCTCCATAGCCAAGTGCATCTCCAAACCAAGCCTCTCTCACACACTATGACACCCAATCTGCCATTCCCAGCAGCCAGATGTGCAGGCAGCTGTGCCTCTGAATATCCTCACTGCTGGGAGGCAGACCAGTCCTCCTCCTCTTCCCTTTTCCTACCTCAAGGTTCCAGAAGGGGATTCTGGATGATTCAGCTTCCTGTCCCTGTCTTCCCAGTACCTCTCCAAAGTCCACCAGGCCAGGCCTGAGACAATGAGGGGAGGCATGACTCACATCAAAACACCCTGCCACACAGACCTCCACCCTGAGTTCCCCCGCCTGAGTGCATGCATACACACAGATGGTGGGAGTGCCTAATAGGGGACATGAGCACTCCGGGAACACTGTCCTGGGGCCTGCCGTGGCTGCAGGTGCAGGGGCAACCACACCCAGGCCTGAGGCACCTCCACAAAACCTTCATGAAAGCCTGACCCCATTTACCACAGGCCAGTGCCCTGCCACGGCGCCCATTAGTCCACTGGACCCTTGCTACACCTCTGCAGGAAGACCTTGCCATCCCCAGTCCATGCATGAGGATGCTGAGACTTGGGCAGACGAAGGGACCGCGACCCTAAAACACACAGCCAACAAGAGCAGAGCAGCCGACTCTCACCCAGAACAACTGCCCCAACTCCCCTTCCTCTCTGCACCTTGCCTGGCCTCGTCACCCAGCTGTGCAGCTCAATCTCACCTCTTCTCCCTGACACCCACCCCTTCAGCTCCAGCAGGCAGCAGTACCCCACATGCTTCCCACTTCCCCACTGACTGAGTACCTGCTGGTGTCCACTGAGCACCGAGCACTGAGCTGAGTTAAGGGAACATGGAGTTGGGTAAGCCTACCACCTGCCCTTCTAGAGCCTGCAGGCCCAGTAGGATGCGGGTGTGCCTGTGCACAGAAGGTCACCGGCACGCCCCCAAGCTCCAGGGAGCTCACCTTGGCCTAAGCCCCCACCACTGCTGCTGGGAAACTGGTGGCTCCCTCCGCACTAATCTCAGGGCTCATAAGACCATGGGATGCCTCCGCCCCCGCTGCTGGCTTGAGGACTAAGGAACCCAAGAAGGAGAAGTAGGGAGTCATCCTGATAGGACAAGGCCTGGCATCCCCTCTGAGTCACCAGCTGCATGACTTTAGCTAGCCATTTCCTTTTCCAGAGCACAGCATCCCCTTCTGTGAAAGGAGGGAGTAGGAACCAATATCTCAGGTCACTGAACCCTGGCACCCCCAGCACTCAGGTTTGTGAAACCCAGAAACAAAGCTGGGATTGACATGTCTGAGTGTGCAACAGGTGTTATCCAAGTGTCAGTCCCTCAGCAGTGGTCCGCCCCTTGCCCTGGGAGGGAGTGCCTAAGGGAGGTGGCTGAGGAAGAATAGAAAGTGAAGAGAAAAGAAGAGGGGGTCAGGGAGAGGAGAGGGGGCATCTCAGAACCACTGCTGCCTCCCTTTGTGAGCCCCCACCCTACCCCCACCAGCCTGCCCACAAGACCAGGAGCAGCTCTGGGAACCTGCCTGATTAAAGAGATCAAGCCTGCCACTGCCCAAACCATTTCCAACTGGGAATTCATTTCCCCCGTGAGTCCCCTGCCAGGCTGGTCCCAGAGGAGCCTGACTCCTCACCAGCAGCCTCACCACACACACACACACACACACACACAGAAGCATAGGCACAGAATATACCACAAATGTGGCTGCTCACATGGAAACACAGAACAATACACAATCCCTTCAACACACAGACAAGTGTGTATACAAAGACAGACCCAAAACACACTCTGTGGACACCAAACACACAGAGACCCAAAACACACCCTCATGCACAGAACTAGATCATGCCACCACCACCCTAGAGTCCTGAGTCAGTCTCTGCCACTTCCCCTTCATCCACCATAGCCCAGCAATCCAAAATTTGGGGGCTTTAAGCAAACCAAAAGCCCAGGGCCACAGAGGAAATACAATCTAGGACCACGTCAACGTGTCTTTGGGGAGTCTGTGCAGGCCGAAACACCGCTAAGAAGGAGCCAAGCCCTGCACCTCACACTGGCCCCACGCCCCTCCCAGGAAGCAAAACCACCAAGTAGCTGGTGTGTGCATACAGGGTGGGCACGAATGCAGACGCGTAGGACGTGCAGGCAGGGGTTCTGGCAGGGGCTGTGTGGGCACCACACCCCCTAGACTGATGTGGATGGCAGTGGTGGCAGTGGCTGGGGCCAGCTTAGGGACACCCAGCCTGAGACAGAGGCAGGCAGATAGGGCATCTGATTAACACTCACCTAGGGACACCCAGCCTGGATGCCCACCCACGCCATCCTCCTGTCCCAGGGAAATGGGGCATATGGAAGGCAGTACTGTGTCTCCTGGGCTCAGAAGGCAAGCCCTCCTGATTTTCCCCAAATTCCCTGCTCACATCCATCCATGTGACCCTCAGGCTCACCTGATGGGGCTACCCCACAGACACAGGAGAACACGGAAGCTCAGGAAGACCCTTGCCCTCATCACAACCCCTGCCCTCTTTCGTCCACTCCAGATCATGAGCTCGGGAGCTCTCGGGGTCCTCTGGCCGCTGTGATGCTGTGCTTGGAAGCAGCTGGAGGGCCATGTACTGCGTCCGGAGCCTGCACTGAGTGCCTCTCTGTCCTTCCCAGGCCACGAGATTGCCCAAGTCTGACTCCAGTGGAAAATGTCAGGCGGCTCCAGACCCTCTGCCAACAGCGAGCCCTGAAAAGAACCCCCACCCCACAGACGGATAGGCCAGGCCCAGGTCAGCCCAACCCAAGTCTCGGGCCAAGGCCCAGGCCAATGGCACTGCCCCTGGCTGACTCCGGATTATGTGTCTTCCAGGGCCTTCCATCTGTCACTTGGCCCTCCGTGCCCAGGACAAAATAAATTTCCTTTTAAGAGAGCCAATGATTTGCATTTCCCATGTCTTTCTCTGCCTTTTCTTTTTAAATTAAAATTTATAGTCCCAAAGTTCAGAGCCTAGAAGGGGGATGCCAACTGGTCACCAGGCTCGGCTTCCCAATGGCTTCTGCTACCACCCTTCTTCCTGCCTGGGCCTTTCCCAGGTCCCTGGATGCCCAGCAGACTCAGCAGATGGAGTTGTGGAGTCCAAGGGAAGGAGCTCAGGGGAGTGTGGCAAGGTCTTCCCACCGTCAGCGTGCTTTCTGTCACCAGCCACTTTGTAGAGGACCCCAGTTCCTAGTCCTGAGGAAGCCTTCCCCTTCCTGGGTCTGGTACCACATCAGCCATGTTGCTTCCAAGACCACAGCTCTAGAGCCAGAGGGATGAGAGGAGAAGCCAGCCAGCCCCCTCCCCTGCACTCCTGTCAGTCTCACAGTGGAGGGGGCCCCAAGGATCAGAAGTTCTGACACTCTGAAAACCCAGGCACTGTGTGAGCTGTCACTAGCACACTCATGTGCTTAGACGCAAGCCAGCACAGGTACATACCCGCAGACACCTCCAGTGCACACTCATGAGCACAGACACTGGTGCACACATGTGTGTGCCACGCATTCTCTCCAGCTCCATCAAGGAGCAGAGCACCACCTCCATAGCCCACATGTAGCCCCCAGCTGTGGTCTGCCTCAGGCCGTGGAGAGGTGGGGAGACACCCAAGACCTTACATCCCACTTGGGAGCTGATCAACACCCTGGGAGCAGAACGCGGAGACTCCGTAGGGGGACTCAGCTGCCTGACCTTTCCACTCCCAGCCCTTCTTGCTTCCCCACTCCAGTGCCTACCACTCAAAGGCGCCCCTCGCAGCCCTGGAGCCCACCAACCAATGAGGAGGCAGGGGGATGACCAAGCCCTGAGTCCCAGTGCCCCTCGGTCCCAGCCTCCCAGGTGGTCCCCAGGTTGGGGGTGGGCGGACCCCTAGGATCGGCTGGGGCCTTACCGTGGAGGGTGCTCCGGGTGATCTGTCCCCCCATCTCCGGCAGTGGACAGGACAGCACGGCCACCACCGTTTGGCCGGCTGGCCTCGTCACCAAGCCGCCCCGGGCGCCAGCTCCCCTCCTCCTCCCCCCAGCCCTCCCCCGCGGCCGGCCGGCATGGCAGGGCCGAGCGGCCCCTCCTGCGTCCCCACGCGCTCCCTCCCGCACGCACACGCCCGCCCGCCAACCGGCCACACACGCATGCACACCCCCTGGCCCTGCTCACGGCCGCCTCCCGCTCCCACCCACTCGGAGCCTCCCCGCCCCCGCGCTGGTACAGGCGAGGGGATCTGTCATGTTTATTTACATAAGGAGGAGGAGACTGGAGGCTTCCTGAAATAGCCCTCCAGAGCTGGAGATGCCCCAGCCGCGCGGGCGGGCGCGCGCGCGCGCGCACACACACACACCACACACACATCACACACACACACACCCATGACAAACACACACCCATCACACACACACACACACACACCCATCACACACACACACCCCCATCACACACACTAGCATCATTCTATGGATGTAGTGACACACAAAGACACCTCACCAGGCCTTTGTCACAAGCTACTACATGCAAATATGGGACTAGTGGGGCTAGGAAGGGTGCAGGGAGGGAGCAAAACAGAAATCCTTCTTTCCCTCAAGGGTGTTCACAGTCCAGCTAGAGGAGCTTCTTCACGCATAGCTAACAGTGTCTGTCTTCTTCCTGGCTCTGCCCCAAGCACTTTTCAGTCGTTAACTCCTTTGGTCCTCTCGGGCTGAATGATGAGGCCAGTATTACCGCTATTATCGACAGGTACCATTATCTTAAAGGAGTATTATCTTAAAGGTGAGAAGACTGAGACACAGATTTCTTACCTAGAAGGGGGCAGGTCGGGGATGCAGATCTAGGTAATCTAGCACCAGAATTCAGGCTTTCATTTCCCAAGAAATGGGACCATCCCCCCCAATCCTACCCTGAAAAGGGAAAAAATTGTCCCTTTTATCGTGCATGTACATACACACACAGAGAGCAACACAGACCTGCACTACACACCTAAATCATGTCAATGGTTATGCACAAACATGTCTCATAAGCTCCTGCAGGCATCCACCACCATGCACACCTAGCAACTTCCTGCCTACCAGGCACAGAGTCAATGGTTACACACATACCCTGCACACACTCACCACACCACACGCATTCTCCTACCAGACTCCTGCAATTTCTGGAGAGATCTTAAGGTGCAGAACCTGGCACCCCACACTTGGAGGAGAGGGGAAGGTGCAGACAAGATGGAATGAGAGAGGCCGGGAAGGCAGGCCCCTCCAACCCAAAGCAAGCAAATAATGACACTGGCACCCAAATCATCATTGGGAGTGCACCCCCTGATGTTTATTCTAGGTTGGAGGGGCTACTATTGAATCCATTTTGCAGAAAAGAAAGTGGAGGTTCTGAGCAGCTAAGGAGCTTGCTGCAGTTCTTCAGAGAGGAGCAAAAGACACCAAGCCGGGTCTCTGGGACGATCTCACTGTCCATCACAGGGTCTCCTCAGGATAGTGGCCTTTTCCCAAACAACAGCACAAATCCCTCCTCCCAGGCTCTAGCCTGGCCCCAAGCCCTTGGGAAAAGTCTGGATGGGAGAAGAGAGGGCTGGGGGCTGGGGAAGGAGCCGTGGGACAGGCAGGGGCTGCCCCACGTAGGATGGAACTCAGAGGCCTGGCTGCTGTGAGGGACTGTGTTGGGCCCTGGGTCCTCAGCTCAGGACCCTGCTGCTGCCATCCCCTGTGAGGTCCTGGGGGGGAGGGGCAGAGAAAATAGGGAGGGACATTCAGGCCTGACCTGGGGTGAGCCACAGAAGCTGAGCAGGCCCTGGGTGGAAGTGCCCAGAGCCCAGCATGCTGCCAGAGACCTCTCCCTGGGAGAAGCTGCAGCTTGGTCTTACCCAAGCAACCCCCTTTCCACAGGCACAGGCTGGCTCCCGGCTATGCACTCACATGCACATGGGCACTTCTTGTCGGGGTGGGAGGCTCAGGCAGTCTGACCAAGAGGAAGTCACCCAAACTCCTTTTGTGGATGACAATTATATTAATACCAAATACAAGGCCTTGCTGTGTGCTCAGCACTGCTCTAAGCATGCTGCAAGGATGAACTCATTCAACCCTCTCAACAAGACCAAGAAATGGGTTTATTTTTAATGCCCATTTTACAGATAAGGAAACTGTGGTAGAACAAAGTTTCTTTGGAGGCTGTTCCTATAGCAGGAGAGTCATTCCCTCATCCCACCTGCCTTTTAATGCACCTGGCTGGGCCCTTGCATACCAGTCCTTCCCCCACACCAGCCTCCCTCTCACCTTGGCTCCCATCTTATTGCCACTTGGGTGTCCCTTCTCCAGCCACCCAGATCCAGGAATGCCTCTTCCAGGAAGCCTCCCTAGGGCCCCAGCTACAGCGAGTGTCCCCATCTTGGAACTTGTCTCTCCTCTGAACCCAAGCTCTACCTCTCCTACTGCTTGTCTTGCTCCATCCTACACAGAGACAGCTACAGCCTGGCTGGGGCCTTGTCTGTCTGTCTCAGCTTCCCCTGGGTGCATGCTGACAACTTAATACAACTTCATCCACATTTATTGAGCACCTATGTGGCAGACACTAAGCTTTGCACTGGGGATGCAATGATAATCCATGAGAAGCAGAGCGGGCTGTTATAGTCCTGAAAGAAACACATTTATCAAGTAGCCTCAATAAGGAACTTAGAATCACAATCCTAGAAAAGTGCTCTGAAACAAAGAGGCAAGGTTCTGGGGGGACTCAGGGCAGGCTTTCAGGAAGAGCAACGGTGAGGGCTGGGTTGTGGCTCAGTGGTAGAGCGCTCGCCTATCATACATGAGGCATTGGGTTTGATCCTCAGCACCACATAAAAATTAAAAAATGAAGATATTGCATCCACCTAAGAAAACTAAAAAATAAATATTAAAAAAAAATGCCGAAAACATGCTAATGTCTATGTGCTGTGGAGATAGGTTGATAGACAGAATACTTCAGAGAATGAGTGCAACATGTGCAAAGGCCCTGGGGCGAAGGGAGCCCAGTGTATTTGAGAAGCAAGGTTAGTACAGCTGGAGCAAGGTCAACAGGAGGAGCCTGAGAGAGTTGCTGTTGGCAAGTCCAGATGAGCTGGGGATACACCAGGAAGGCCTTAGGAAGCAGGGTGGAAAAACCAGCCTTTTTCCTGAACACAATAGGGAACCCCTAACAGGTTTCAATAGGGAGGAACCAAGACTAGCCTTGCATTTCAAAAAGGTCACTCTGCCATCTGGTAGGGGGTACATGTGGAAGGAGGCAAGAAGTGCCAGAGCAGAGAGCAGTGGCATCCAGCAGGGTCGGGCCTGCGCCTGGCTTACTTTGGCTGCCCTCGGGCCTAGCATCATGCCCCCACAGAGCAGATGCCCACGAATAGAACTGAATTCATGTAATTCTCCAGAAACACGATTGTGGGAAAGTAACTAAGCCAGAGGGAGGGGAAGGTGGGGGCTCAAGAGCTGGGAGTCCACAGTGGACTGGCTCAGGAGCCCTCTGTCTGGACACCTGAGCAAGAAGAGAATAGAGGATTGGGAGGCAGTGTGGGTGGCTCCCGACCATCCCAGCCCTACGGGGCAAGGGGTTTCCCAGCAGGCTTACCTGGGCTTTCCATACTCCATTGCCCTGTTTTCAACAGGAAGTAGCCGTGTCCCTATGTCTGCAGCTTCCCTCTCTACCCCTTCCCCGCGCGGTGTCCAGGGCCTCTCCAGAGGGAGACAGAGATGCACCCCTCCTGCTTTATTCACTGGGGCATCACATGAGGGTTCATTTGGTTGAAGGATTCTGTTACTAAAAGGGGTGAGCAAACCACTGAGCTGCATCATTCATTCACCAGGCATTCACCATGGACCAGCTGGTGAGCAAGACCCAGCCCCACCCTTCGGAAATCCTTCAGCAGATGGGCCAGGAAACATGATTCCAGATCCCATTGAATGCTCTGCTGGGATCAAGGAGTGAGGTTCCTCGGCTCTGGCTGAATCCCCGCAGTGTTCCGTTTGGTAGCTACACTTTGCAAAGGCCGTGAGAGGTTCTACTGAGGGGAGGTTCTACTGAGGGGAGGAAGGCTCTACTGGGGGTTCTACTGAACTGCGCTTTAAACCCAGCCCTGCCTGACATCCAAGTTCATGCTCTATCCAGAAAAAATGCCAAAGAGCATGAACTCCTCTTGCTTGAGGAAGAGAAGACATAAGGACAACAGCTAGCTGTGCCCTTGGGGACTCCCTGGCCTGACAAAATCCTTACTGGGTTCAGAAGAAATCCACTCCCGTCCAGTGGAGCTGCAACTGCCCACTGACCTTACCTGGAATCTCACTCCCCTTGGCTCTCTGAACCGAGTCAGCTCTCAAACTGCAGCCACCCCCAGAGCTGTCCCTGCTCTGCCTTCACCTCCCTGCCTTCTGACCCCCTTCTGCCAACTCCTCCTGAATCTTGGGCACCATTTTGGCTTCAATGGTGGGCTACCCAGCTCAATTTTTTCCTTGCCAAGTCCTATCTCCCCCATGTTCCCCCAAGGCCCAGCATCCTCATCTGCATCCTAAACCTGACCTCTTAGAACTTTCAGTTAAAGACAGAACCAGCAACCGCAGAATATAACATTGAACAAATTCACTGGGCAATAGAAACCTTCAGGCTCAGAGACAGAGATCTCTAAAGGGAAAGATCCTCCAGAGAGAATTGGGTCCAGTCCCTGCCTTCAAGAGGACAAAGAAGACTTATGCCCATTTTAGAGATGTGGCAAAGAAGGCCTACTAAATTGTAGACCTACCCAAGGTTGCACAGCTGGTAGGGTAAGGAGGATTTGAACACAGGATCACTGTCTTCTGGTGCTGTGCTTAGT